GCTGGGCTGAGCTCACCTCCTTGTCAGGGATTGCAGGTGCCACTGCACGCTGACTGCTGTTGTCAGGTTCTGGCTGTTCCTCAGGTGTGGCAGGCACCACTTGCTCAGAAGACCCTGCTGCCTCCCCAAAGCTGAGCTTCCTCACAATACTGCTGGGTGGACTTGGGTTTGAGGAAGGAAAGCTGAGCTGCCTTTTTGTTGGTGGTGTGGCTGACTCAAAGCTCTGCTTCTTTTCCAGTGGTTGCACCACCATCTCAGCAGGGTCATCTGAGTGCATAATATCCAAAATGGCTTGCCTCACTTCTGAGAAGTCTTTGATGTGCTCAGGCTTCTGGATCTCTTCCTCAGCAAAGATAGCTTTCCTGCCAGTGGCCTTGGCCCACAGAGGAATCTGATCTGAGAAGCCTATGACAAGGTGAGGACGCGCTGAGACAAAGTCCTCAGGAGATGCCACTCTGTCTGAGGCCTTCAAGGTCTCAGCTGCGGCACAGGTGGCCAACCACAAGGTCTTGTCAAACTCCTGCCAAGTCAGGAGGCACCTGGTCTTGCTCTCAGTCTCAGAAATGTTGGTCACTAATTCAGCTGAGACATACTTGGCGCCCAGCCAGTCAATGAGCTTTCTGACGAAAGACTTCTTGTAGCCAGGCTTCTCCAGAAGCTTGCTTTTCCTCTGCAACCTTTCTGAGGCCTCATGCAAAAGCTCGCCCTTTTGCAAGGGAGTGAGAGCCTTGCTATGCTCAGCCTCTTCTTTGAGCTTCTCAGCTGACAGCTGGAGCCTAGCCAGATACTCAGCTGCCAGATCAGCCTTCGCGATGCTGTGCCCACAAGCCCTTTCAACTGAGAGCCATTGCCTCATCCCAGCAATGATGTCAGAGAAGGGAACCTTCCTACCTGCTCCAAAGGCCCTCTTTCTGCTAGTCTTCTCCTGCTTTCTGAGTCCTTTCAGCTTTGGTTGCTGCTTGCTGAGCTGAAACCAATGCTCTTTCTTGCTGAGCATGCTCATGAGCTGCTGCTTAGTCAGTCCATACCTTCTCACCATTGCTTTCCAGAAGTCTTTCTTATCAACAAACTCCTTCTGAGCTAACTCCATCTCACAGCAGTACTTGTACTTTGTTGCTGCTGTGACCTCAAGACGCTCAGTCTGGGTGCCTGGCCTCTTCCTGCCTCTTGCCACATCTTCCTCAGGTTTTCTAGGCCTCCCAGTCTTTCTCTTGTTGCTCTTTAGTTTGTTGAGCCTAGCAACTTCTTCCAATGCCTCATTGGTCTCAGCCTTCTCAGCTTCCAGCTCAGCAATTCTTCTAAGGTGCTCTTCTCTCTCTCTCAGAGCATCTTCTGCAAATCTGCTGAGCCTTTGCCTCTTAGTGATGTTTTTGGTGAAGCTGGGTGGCGTTGGCTGAGATAGCTGCTGTTCAGGTGTGCTGCCAAAAAACTTAGACAAACTGGACTGCACCTTTTCTGAGCTTGGTGGTGACCTTTGGGCGCTGGGCTCAGGGCTTCCCTGTGGAGCAGGACTATCCTCAGCACCACCTCCTTGAACACGCAGTTGCCTCACTCTAGGCACCTGCATGTGGGCAATGATCCTCAATAATAAATTTGTTTTTGGGACCTCTATTG